GTATGAATAATAAAAATATATTGTGGTCTCCTCAATGGCGATGCATAGATCTTTAGAAATGTACGCATGGTTAGGATGTTAAACCGAGTACGAAGAGAAGGCAGGCGTGCTTCTTTGTATAAAATAGTATATGATGCAAATTTTGGAAGTCCTATTCGTGTTCGAAGTCGTGTTCGAAGTCGTGTTCTAAAAGAACCAGTGGTCGTAGTTTGTATGCAGGTGCACCAGAAAACAAGACGCAGCTGAACTCTAATATCGGGTGAACATACACGCAGTAAATCGTGATGAAAACATCACGGCGTAAACCTGAACGTTTCTTGCTAAGTCTATAAAGCATCCCCAGCGCACGTGTTACTTTGGCAGCATATTTTCTATATGTGGACTCCAATTAAGTTTTTCAATATAATTGATCCCTAAATACTTAACAGATTCTACCTGGAGGATAACGTATTGCCGGTAATGCAAAGTGATATGGACCGGAGCACTCAGAGGAAAAACTACCATCGCACTTTTTTTTTTACATTCAGTGATAAGTTTATTTTTTCCGACCACGTTTCTAGAGCGTTCATATACGTCTGCAGACTTCGATAAAGTGAATGCATACCTGCAACTGAAGCAAAACAAACACGATATCGTCGGCAGTATACATACACTTGCACGTCCATCTGTATAGGAATAGTGCATAGTAAAGTATTAAATAATAGTGGCGATAACACTGATCCTTGTGAGAGACCTCTAGTTTGGATGTGCCTTAAAGACGACAAACCTGATTGAGAACAGTAAAATTCTCTGTCGTTTAAGAAGGGATGTACCCATGCAACAAAGTATTGTTGTAGACCTGCGTTTTTAAGTGAATTTATTAGTTTTGAATGTTCTACGCTGTCTTAAGCTTTTGTAATGTGCAGGGTTATTATAAGGTGGCATATTGTTTCTTATAACGGGCAAGCTGTATTCTACTTTCCAAATCAACATGGATACACCAAATGGAGCAACTATGCCTGAAGCCGATTCGGCATGGGCTCAAGACCATGTTTTCATTCAACCAATTATCTATCCTAATGTGTAATATTCTTTCAATTAGCTTTACCAGATAATATGTAAGTGCTATAGGCCTGATGTTATATAACGTAAACCTAGCACCTTGTTTTTTTTTCAATAAATGAATTATCTTAGCAATTCTCTAATCAGGTGGTATCTATGAGTCTCTGATAGAGTGATTAGCCAATGCCAGGAGGTCCTGGGGTAGAACCTTATGGATGATTTTTATTGTCAAAGTAGTTATGCCATCAGGACCTGGCGCAGTATTGGGCAACTTTCTCACTACTTGTTCAAACTCCGAAGCAGTGATCTCCTCAAAACTGTCACTTTTGTCAGGAGACTGCGAGTGGTGTGAGAAGGCAGAGGTAAAGAGACATTGAAGTCCTTTCGCAATATTTTCGAGAAAACTAGACATATCACTTGGAGTAGAAACCACTGATTCAATATTGTTGGATGAAGGTATGACCTTTTTGCTTCAGAGGAAAATAAAGAGGGATTTTCTTTTGCTAGGTTTTGACAGAAACTCAAAACGCTGATATCATAGCTGTCTCTCGCAGCGGCAACTGGTCTCTTAAAAATGGCAGCCGCATATTTATAATCTCCCAATTTCTATGGCATTGGTTGTAAAGTAGTTTACGCCACGCAGCTCTTCTCAGCCTGTAATCGCGTGCACAAGCTGAATTCCACCAAGGATTAGAAGAACCTTTGTGAGATCCCTTTACGTTGAATTTCGATGTATTTAACGATTCTTTTACCACGTTACTTTAATTCATGACAGTTTGCTCTTCACTTTCAACTATTCGGTTCGACCAGGCGGCCCGTAGTGATTTTTCAAATGCCACCGCTGCGACTCATCTTCTTTTTCCCTCTCTCACGCGTGCTTCGAACAATGCTGCGTCTGCGTCGAATTGGCGCTGCAGTCATTTCTTGTTATTTATTAACATCCCTGCTAGCTTCTTGTTCCTTGCCGACTTCCAACTTCGTTCATGGCGCGCACTTTAAATTCCACTCGCCCCGTTTCAGGTTCCGCGCACTTCACCCGCTTTAAATTCCACGCACTCCATCACAGGGGAGTAACTTCGCATTATTAGGGAAAACGTCGCCAACTTGGATATCCACATGGTGAATTATCGCTAGTCACTGTTATCTCGAAGATACTTACATTCAGAGGGTTCAGTAAACGTTGCACAAATATAATTTGTGGGGTGTGAAGCCGTGGCCATCTAGCATCAAAAAATAATTCCGGGAGGGGGGGGGGATATAAAGACCGTCTTCGACTGCTGTAGTGGTGACTCGTAAGTTCTTGAGAACGTCTGATTGATCAAAGTATGAATCCTGCACGAAATAGAAGGAACTCTAAATTCCAGGTATAAAATTCAGCTACCAATCGTTTTAGGAAAGCCAATAGATAAGCGCAGTGATTCTCTTTTTTTTTTAATAAGAGGCCTGATATTATAGGCTGGAGCACCAGAGAAAAGCACGCAACCAAATTCCGAAATAGAACGAGCGTACATTAGATATATCATTACTAGTGTATCTCTTTTCATGCCAATTCAGTAGTTTCTTATCCTACTCTACATGCCGACGGCTCATGCACCTTTTCCTTCTATATACGTATTCGATGTGCTGTCGCCAGTTAAGAGGTGCATGTTATATTACCCCATGATATTTATAGATTCCACCTGTCGTATGTCCTGAGAATGACAGCATAATGAGGTGTGCACGTGATATTGCAAGGGGAAGACAAGAAGAACTCACTAGGATTCAGTAGGAAGTGATTGTCCTTGAGCCAGTCCTCCAGAGTGATGAGATAAGATTAAAACCATTTGTATAAGGTCTCAATGTTCTCTGCCGTCGCAAAGAACGCGATATCGTTAGCGTACGCAAAAGTTGTGATTTCCTGCTTGATTTGAATGGTGCTCGTTAACACGTTAAATAGCACCGGGGAAACCACTGAGCCTTGCAGTACTCCTCCCGTCTCTGTGTAAGTAGTCGATGAAAAGCCTCCTTTTGAACAAATAAAACTTCCTGCCCACGAGGAATTTGTGAAGATATGTTACTATGTATGCCGCGAAATTGGGGTATCCATCAAAATACGGTGCTCTACAATATCACATGCTTTAGCGATATTCAAAGTAAGTATATAGCCGCAGATTTGTTGCGCTGTCGTGCTTACTGTATACGACTTTCTAAATCAATGTGCGTATTCGATATTAAACAACCAACCCTGAACCCGATTTGACAGGAGCTTTTCTTGCAGGCGCCTTCTTCTTTTTCTCCTCTTCTCATCACTCATGCCCAATGCAGGGGATGGGCCGAGAAGTAGTTGAATTTTTTTTCAGTATTTACTTTTGTCTATTACTCGTATAAGCTACAATTCATTCCTCTACGACAACAACATGGTGACTCTAAAGAAGAGGAGAAAGAAGTAGTATGACGAATGGATATGCCAGTAAAATATCAAGTTGTAGTATCAGGCTTTTAGTTTGTAACACCTCGTTATTTCTATCAAGAATTTTAGATGGTGTGACTGCCTGCTCCGTAAGCATTTTCATTTACTATTCGAAGCCATGTTTTTATACTAATTTCACAGCTTGATTTAGTTTCACTGCCCATTACTTTAAGCATCCTGACGCTCGGTTCCTGGCCCATCCCTCTTTGTGGGTCTTTGCCAAATCATCATCATCATCATCATCATCATCATCATATTGCGGTGACAATATAAAAATGAACAAAAATAGACAGAGCATGATTGGATTGACACCTAATGATGACATTGTCACTGTCATAACAATAAACAACCGATACTTGTCATTATTTAGGCAACATTAACCAACGTTAACCAGCATGACCCATCCAGTTAACGAAACGTCCGGAAATCCTGGACGTATGCTTGCCAATTCAGTAGTTTAATGTGGGGAGAATTTTTAACGCTCTATTACGAATGTTGGTAGAAAAGTCAAAGAAAGAGGCTGCCATCGAAAAAATTTTTCAGTAACAATCGCTACGATTCTTTATCGCGTCACTAGTTTACAGTTTGTGGGCATCGGCAGCGCTAGGGCTTTGATACCTTGTTGATCCACTCAGGATCAAAAACAAGATTCATTAAACAGCTTGGTCTGATCATACAAGTACTTCAGTCTCTTTTTATATCTTTCTTTTTGTTTTAATCGTTTATTACTCTGCGTGATTTTCAACAGTTTGTGACAATTCTCGGGCAATCCCCCAGTGTGGGTACGAGCCATATGAGGAGAAAGTCACCACTACCAAGTAAACGTTCAGGACATGGAACAAGGAAGCTGAAAAGGCTTCCGCTGTGGTGGCTCACAGGGAGGATCTAAGGACCCCAGCAAATTTTTCTCAAAGCGTGCTAAGTATTGCATACGCTCAATGAGGTCACTCGGAGCAGTTACCCTGCAGCGGTCCGCTACTGTCGTCCATCACAAAAGACTGTCCTCCCCTCATGCCTGGCCACGCCCAGCTGGAACTGCGTTCCAGCTTGCCCGCGAACATCACTGCAACATCTAGAAATCTCAGTGGAGTACACGGCCCATGCAGAAGACATCGGTGGTTTGTCAAGGACGAAGCATGATTGGGGTAGTTAAAACATACTTCACATTTATGAGCACGGCTACTATGCCATTCAAGCCGTTTTCACGGAGCTCGCAATTCGAAAGTCCGAAATGCACGACGGCTGTCGAAGAAGTGACACTAAGTCATGAATGCACAGCTTTATTCAACTTTCACACCAGAAAAAAAAAGTAGTCACTACAGGCTTGCCAAGTGCTCCGCTTTTACATTAAAATATTTCACTTCTCCTTGGTTTCCCTGCTTCTCCATGTCGCAGCCAGCTTCTATCATTTCAGTTCCACTTAGCACGTTGCACCTGAAAGTTCCTCGGAGCACCTTTGTTGGGATCTCTCTTCAAATCGTTGTTGTTCCTTGGCATTCTTGAGCCACCCTCACATCTCGTATCTAGGCCTGGCCGTGGAAACATGTTTCGACTGGGTATCGGCGTGGGCCTGGTACGGGATAGTGCTTCGGGGGTGCATGCTCAACCTCTCCTTCAAAGTCTTCCCAATCTTAATGTTGCCCTCAGATCGGCGAACAGTGGCAGTCCAGAGGGCTATCTTGTCAAGCTTGGGGCGAACCTGAACCACAGCACCATTCACGTCGTCGCTTTGCTCGCCGAAACCCTCTCCAATCAGGCACAGCAATATTTCCAGCCAGTAATGATCCAAGACCGTCGCCCTCTGGCTTTTGCTCAAGTTGAAAAGATAGCGGCCTCCCTGCCTGTTACGATTGTCCTCCCACATCGGCTTGATGCCGTACTTGAAAAGCGAATAATCGCATCCGAGAGGAAGCCTACTTGCCGGCTCTATGTTGTTGTAGAGATACCAAAAGTCCTCCACAGTGTCAAACGAAGTGATTTCCAGAAGGTTCTCCTCCCAGCTGTGATTCCGGTCGTTCTTGTAGAACCACAAACTCCAGCGATTCTGAAGCGGATGCTTGATCATTACTCGCGGTGGATCTGGACACGCCGGAATCTGCACGGCCGGTCGAGCCTCGTCAGGGCCGCCTTTCCCGTCATCGCCCGCCATGTGGCAAAAATGTTGGATCGTCATAAGGCTCCACCCAAGCGCAACCCCCGCTGATCAGTCTGTTGAGTGCCTGGCCTTGCGGACGTATTCACCGTAGACGTAGATGTTGTCGACCAGTTTCAAGCAGTGCGGCTGGTCTGGACCGGGCAGCACGAGACCAGTCGTGGTTCGAGCTAGCGCGCGGGAACGCGTGGCGCGTGTCGATTTTACAAGGCATGCATTGGCGTCATGGATGATGACGATGATTCCCAGAGGAATTACACATCCCTGGGGGTCGGGCGCGAAACTTCCGGCAATAGAACTGGTGAAAAAAAATTAAAAACAAGACGAGGGAGAGGTAACAGGAAGAGGGGGAATGATATGCGAAAAAAAATCACAGCATATCCACGGAGTAGTTGGTGATGAGTGGAACGAAGCGCTGGAGGGTTTCATAGCTAAACCATGATTCATCCGCAAATATGGCCCACTATATCATCAAAGACGTGACAAGGACTGTATATACTTATACAAGAAATTTTATTATTGGTAAGTGGTAGCTATACGTCGCTTCTGTTCCCCCTTCATTATAACGGCTTTATGGTCAGTGAAGTGTTGGATCGGTGATGGGGCGAAGTGGGATGTTTGCAAGGACGAAGTAGTGGGCAGTTGGCCAAGATGGAACTATAGGCGGTCACGTAAATACATAAAAGGGATGGACAGACCTGCGTCTTTAGGAGCTTCACCCCTAAAAGAAAATGTATAGGCCGCCAGATAGAGTCGTGTCTGCACATTGTGTTGCAACCACTGACGCAATGCTTGGCACCACAGCCAGGTTTGCACCTTAGTTTAAGGCACGAGAGTTAGGACATTCTTGCGAGGTATAAGACAGGCTGTGGTTCGACTCTACTCTGTCTACGCCAAGGAAAGACCTATCATCAGCATCAGCCAAGAATGCAAACGAACACGTTTTTACTCGTCTAAGCCTCGACAGGGACTGCCTGTCAGCGGCCGCTGAACGCGGGCTGGTTGGTTTACCCTTATTAAACAGGTGCAACCCACCATGCGAGATCGGCCATGAAATAAGCGGTGCCTTGTTAGATAAATTAACTTGTCTGCTCATGCCGCCACCCTTAGTTTATTGACAGCATAAAGCCTCACTGCCCTCATTGCGAATGAGAGACGATGCACGTTATGCCGCATGCTCTGGCAATGCATGGCGCTGCGGGATGGTGCGCCTCTCAGCACAGAGGACGCCAGAGGGTGGCAATCACCAGCTCGGATTGGGAGGTCTATATGTGTGCTATCCAGAGGGCCCACAGTTTGAGGGAGAGGCATGCCCTTCCTGTCCCGCAGCCAACCCGCCCTCTTCAGGGGTATCGGCTCCTCAGGACGATTTGTCAATTTGTGAATAAAGTTCGTTGACTGACTGACCGACCGACCTAGCTTTGCATTAAATTCATTTTGTGTCGCGTAGGAGATCACATATGGCATCGCAAACGTTCCTGTGTCTAAAACCCAGTACCATAGCCGCATTGGAAAGAACTAACGGACGTGATAAATTTAAGCCCATCCTTTGGAGTGGTTCATCTAGCAGTCTTTTTTTATTCGTTCATAATCATCCACATACTAGGAAGAAATGATGGAGGCATATTGCCTAGAATATACTGACCAGTATGTTCTAGGCCCTATATGTCAGGGATTAACTCTCATTGCAATGGAGGCATAAAAGCATGCTAGCACGCCCATCGTTCTCTTCATCTGTATACGGTCAGCATGCTCGCAGCCGCCGCTATGATAAGCTTTACACGACTATAGAGATTTTTTCTGTTTTTTGAAGGAAGAAAAAATGCAGGTACATAGGTTTACCATTAAACCGATAATTTGGGGGCGAGCCACGGTGCTAATATTACCGCGTTACGCATGCTCATTCAAGCAACTGGAAGATTACGCTGCTGGGGCTACCGACCAGGAGAATATTTTTGCAACTTTTCGTCAGGCTTTTTGAATATTTACATATTTCACTTTAGATTCACATCGCGTTTTGTTGTTCGTTCCTTTTTATTATACATCGTGTTGTGGTTACATTTTTCTTTATAACCCAAGGAAAAGGAAGGAAAACAGGAGGAAAAGAATAGCAGGGAGGTTAACCAGCCTATAGGCAGCCGGTTTGCTACCCTGCTCATGAGAGGGGGATAGGGGAGATGAAAGATAGAGTAGAGAGAAAAGAGATGAACACAGCACATTAGGCAGCACACGCGCGCACACTCAGTCATAGTTAAGTCTTGTCTTTCGTGGTGTGTGACATTGCTGTTGCAGCCGCTTGTTCAAGTCCGTGTCACGTAGAAATTTCAACAGTGCTTTTGTCGCCTTCTGTTGCAATGTCCTCTCTCGGACACTCGATAGAATTGTATTCAGAGACATTGGGCTGTTGTTGATGCGCGCAAGAACGGACGCCAGTGACTGTCTCAGGATGTCATACAACGGACAGTCGCACAGGATGTGGTGTAGCGTCTCTTCGCAACGACAGGCATCGCAGAAAGCGTTGTCGGCCATTCCTATGACAAATGAATAAGATTTTGTAAATGCCAGTCATAGCCATAAGCGATGAAGAAGGGTGGCTTCTCTTTGGTCGAGCCCAGTGGTCATGCGGAGAGCCATCAAAGAGGACAGACGGTGTTGACGATTCGTCTCGTTGCTAGGTAGGCACCACAGTGAAAACGTGATTTCACGCCTAAGTCGTCGAAGATTACTGGCAGCATCGGTCCACAAAAGTGGTATGGCTTCTTCTTGCTGAAGCCCATTCGGGGGTTGTTTTTTTTCTTTTTCAGTCAAGTTTTTTTTTTTAGGCGACAGGACGAAACTTTCGGGTATCGCCATCTGGTAGCCCCCCGCGGGGGTGGGGGAGAAGGAAACACGTATTATTGTGATAGCAATTATTCGGATACACTTGGTGGATTTTAGCCGTTGCCGTCATGTCCTGAATATATATGCATGTGTATACATAAAAGATGCACAAATAGAAATAAATCAGGAGACGAAATTCCGAGGCAACGAACCATGGGCACACGACCCCTCGCTCCGTAACGTGCTCTGAGGAGCTTGAGCGTCTTTTGCATCACACAACGCTCTTACATCTTATTTAATTGTGAAAATTTTCCTGGAGACGACCACGAAAAAGTGGGCCTTATCTGTACCCATTAGTGGTGTGGAAAGAAGCAAAAAGAAGACCAGGCACAACTAGAGTTACTGTATATGGCTCCTTTATGCATGAAGGAAAGAAGGGTAAATTTATGGGTGTTTTTCTTTGTTAGACACAATATTAATGAGATCTAACAGACAATTGTGTGAAGGAATGTACAGCGGATGTTATACGAGGTAATTGTAATGTAAATTTGAAGACAGAAAAGTGGACGAAAAGATAACTTCCCGTGGGCAGGGAGCGAACCTGCGACCTCCAAATAACGCGTCCGATACTCAACATATATTAACTTAGCTAGTGTGTCGTAGATATGAAAATAACAATCATGAAGCAGCACGTGTTCTCACCTTCATTTTCGTCTTATGATTCACTGTCAGAAGACGTGCGACCATTTCTTCGTTGTTAGATGCAGTATCTCCGATGAAGGAGGGAACAAGCACAAATAGAGAAAGGGAGAAAAAGGACATTCTTTGCAGAAGGACTTTCTTGGCGAGGGGAAGCATAGCCACGAATTGTAGAGTGTAGCGAGAATTGGAAAAAAGAGAGGGTAAAAGCCTGTAGCTAAGCCTTGACCAGCTTGGGGCGTGACCGCTCTGCTGGGACTCAGACTTGCGCGAATTAGTGTAAGCTGCAGTAATATTTTTTTTTAGTGACGAAGCTCCTTATAGCAGCACTTGTTAGTCCCTCTTAGTCGTAGTAGTAGTGTGTAACCAGTCTTACATTTTGACCTCCAAGGTGGTGCCGGTGAGAGATTTCTTCTGTGCGTTGTTGAACAATAAAAAATTCGCAGCGTGCGCGTTAACTAAAAGCCGAATTCTCCTCTCTCTCATTCCCCCTTAGCAGCCATTGGCATGTACATTGAACACTATCTGACAAGAAAGGGTTGCTACGTTATACTCGCTGGGCATAACCTCCTTGGTTTTAGAAAGATTTAGCGAGCGTTGGGACGTAGTGCCATGAATACAGTGAACTAGTATATACCATGAACTCGAGGTGGTTGAAGGTGGGAAGTGGACCCCGAAGCGCAAGACGTAAGATAGTGTGCGTGTGCCTCCTCTCGTTCAGTCCTTGGAATGTCCGCTGGATGGCGGTGCTTCTATATGAGGAATATATGATGAAAAGATGCGAGATGGTGGTACTTGGAGTTTTGAATAGGTGGACGAACGGACACACAGAAAGATGCATGGACGGACGCATGGATGGCTGCATGGACAGATGGACACATGGATGGACGCAGGAGCAGATGCATGGACGAACGCAGGGACGGACGCACAGATGGACGTGCGAACGCACGAACAGACGCACGCACGGACGGGTGGATGGACGCACGGGTGGCCACACAGACGCACGCATGGACAGACGGAAGCAAGATCGAATGGACAAACGGATGCTTCGCCCGACTCTCCATCATTCACTCCGTGGATATGCTGCCATTTTTTTTTTCACACGTGTTCATGTCCAAATCATGTGTCCGATTTCCCGTAAAACTTGCTCCGCCGGGGTTTCGTAGATCGTTCTGCGAGGTAACACGGTGTCAACCTCTGGCTCGCAGCCTCGGCATGGATTGACTGACCTTTCGACGGTCTTCAACGACTTCAGCTCAATGTCACACAGAAGCAACAACGGCGAAAGTCGAGGTTTTCACCGTTTCGTGATCGTACGTCTGTTTTGTGTTTCGTTTTCTTTCCTTGTCGTACGTGGCACCGCATTATGAGATTCAATTGAAAACCGATATATATTTATGGCATCAGAGATAAAACCTTAGGAGCTTTGAAAGCTCTATTCGGTTCTCGACGGCAGGTTTCACCATCGGTGTCATTGA